GCCATTTGCAACATCTCACATGAACTGTTACCAGCAGGAGGATCACAATCACTGATTATCATAGACAATTGAAGATAAGAGTTTTGATGGCTGGCTCATTAGCTTCCTAACTAGTTGATTAAAGTGTCAATTTCCCCTTTGTTCTAATGGTATCAGTTCGTCCTGTGTCAGAATGCAGGGAAATTTCAAAGGGCATAGCAAGATTTAGCATATCCATTTAATTCCAAGTCACTGCGTTTAGTTTTAAGGCAGAGAATATATCAAAATGGATCACGTTTTTTGACAAAAGAAGTGAGTTCGCAAGCACTTATCAACAATTTCAAAGGAATACCGTAAAGGAGGAGAGAGAAGGTTTATGAAAGGAATTCCACAATTTAGGAATTAAATGACAGAAGACATTGCTGTCAGTGATAAGGTGAGTGAAAGGGGATGTGCTGGATCCCAGGATTGGAGGAATGTGGAGCTGTTGAAGGGCTTGGAGGAATAACGGAGACTCCTTACAAGTGCTGGTCATAGAATCGCGATATTGTTTTGGTTCAGAAGAAGGCCATTCAGCCTACCATGCCTGTAACACGCTCTGATCATTTTGACTTGGCACCAGTATTTACTCCATAACGATGCACGTTGTTGTTTTTTTATTTAAACAATCATCCAATGCCCTTTTTAATGCTTCAATTGAACCTTCCCCCACCAGATGTCCTGGCTCTGCATTCCAAATACAGGCGCTCACACTATGAAATTTTGTTTTCTCCTCTCGCCTTGCATTTGTTTCTTTTGCAAAATATTTTAAATCCATTTAAGAACGGGAACAGTTTCTCCCTAACTCCTCTGTCCAGGCCCCTCATGATTTTGACAAGTTCTAACTGGTCTCCTGTTGGCCTTCTGCTCTCCAAATGAAACAGTCCCATCCTGTCCTCATATTGGAAGTGTTTCATCCCTGGAACTATTCGCATAAACCTCTTCTGAATACTCTCAAATGCATTTATGTTCCTCTTGAAGTGTGGCACTCAGAATGTACAATACTTCAGATGAGATCTAACCAGTGCCCAATAAAGGTTCAGCATAATGTTCCTACTCTGTATCTATTCACCAGTAATGAAGCGCAGAATATTGTGTGCTATATTAACAGCTCTCTCTATCTTTTCTTTCACCTTTAATGACTTATGCATACATGCACCCAGATGTCTCTGCTCCTGAACACCCTTTGGAAAAGTACCCCTTATAGTATACATTCTCCATGTTTTTTTATACCAAAAAGTATCAGCTCACATTTCTCTGCATTGAGCCCCATTTTCCACTTACCTGCCCAATCCACCAATAAGACGATGTCTTTTTAAAGTTCTACACTGTTCTTGTCACAGTTTACAATTCTCCCAAGCTTTGTGTCATCTTCAGACTTTGAAATGTTCTGCTGTGCATCAAGTAATAGATTACTAACATATATCAGCAAAAGCAATGATCCCAATGCCAGCTCCTAGGGAATTATCTACCCACCTTCCTCCAGCTCAAAAAATACCTTAAACTTTACTCTCTGTTTCCTATCATTAAGTAAATTGTGTATCTCTATTGCTACTGACATTTTTATTCTATGACCCATCATTTCCCTCACAAGTCTGCTGTGTGGCACTGTATTGGATAATTATTGGAAGTCCACATTCACCACATTAACGGATTTCCTCTCAACAACCCTCTGTTGCCTCTCCAAAAAACTCCGGCAGGTTAATAAGACATCATTTTCCCTTAACAAATCCATGCTGCCTGGAAAAGACAGCATGGATTTGTTAAGGGAAAATGATGTCTTATTAACTTATTAAATCCACATCTTTTTTCCACAGTACTTCTACTTCTAACCCAAATCATTAGTTGGCATTATCAGTGACAATCAGTCATTTTGGATTTAAAAAGATATGATAGCTATGGATATTTTAATCAATTTGGTCAGGCATGCTATAGTATATCTATTGAGGATAGGTGAGAGTTGAACCCAGAGCCTTCTGGGCTAGAGAGAGTGACTCTATCACTGCACAACAGGAGCCCTAAAGTTCTATGATTGAGCTCATAATGGGATATGAAGCAGTTGATTACAATTTGGGCACTTGGTCTTTTCCATTCAAGAGTGTATGCCTGAAACCCTGTCTGCTTCTGCACACACTATGAAGCTGTCTGTGTCATGGAGGAATCTCATGCAAGGCTTATTCACAGATTTTTATGTAAATTAAAGACCCTCCCCTCATGCAGCTGATTCCAAATGGATGCATCTATGAAGATTTCTAAGAATGCAGGATTTATTTCCTCTTGGATGTCCAATCTAGTCCACCAGCTGACTTTATAACTCCCCTCATTTTCTTGCACAAAATAAAATCAAGGCAGGATATTTTTAAAAATGCTGATTTGCGTTGGACAAGATTTTCTCACATTCTAGAAGTCCATTTGCAACTGGTAATAAAAACTGAAAGAACTGTGGATACTGTAAATCAGGAACAAAGACAGAAGTTTCTGGAAAAGCTCAGCAGGTCTGGCAGCATCTGTGAAGAGAAATCAGAGTTAACATTTCAGGTCCGGTGAGCCTTCCTCAGAACTGATGGAAGCTGGGAAAATGTTGGTTTATATGCAGAAGATAGGACGGGAGGAGGGGGTAAGGAGTAAATGATAGGTAGCAATAGAGCCCAAAGAGAGAGAAGAACAGTTGGACAGATAAATGAGTGGATGATGATCTGGCTAGGAGGGTGAATAGTTGTTAATGTGGACTGTTAGTGACTCACAATAGGTAGTATGTAATGGCAGGCTATGTGATGACAAGTAAAAACCGAAAGAACTGTGGATGCTGTAGATCAGGAACAAAAACAAAGCTGCTGGAAAAGCTCAGCAGGTTAACAGAGTTAACGTTTCAGGTCCGATGACCCTTCCTCAGAACTGATGGAAGCTGGGAAAATGTTGGTTTATATGCAGAAGATAAGATGGCTATTCACCCTCCTAGCCAGATCATTATTCATTCCTTTGTCTGTCCAACTGTTCTCTCTCTTTGGGCTCAATCTCCACTTATCATTTGCTGCCTGTTCCTGATTTCCACACTTCTTTCAGTTTTTATTACCAGTTGCAAGTGGACTTCTAGAACTGAGGAAGGGTCACTGGACCCGAAACGTTAACTCTTGTTTTTTCCTTCACAGATGCTGTCAGACCTGCTGAGCTTTTCCAACAGCTTTGTTTTTGTAGTATGTGATAACAAGGCCTGGTGTGTGGGGTAGGGGGCTAGGATATGGGAAAGTTTAGGCTCGAAAATTATTGAACTCTATTGAATCCAGGCGACTGCAGCGTCCCCAAGCAGAAAGTGAGGTGTTGTTCTTCTAGCTTGCATCGAGCTTCGCTGGAACACAGCAGCAAGCCTGCGACAGAGATGTTGGCCAGGGAACAGGGTGGTGTGTTAAAGTGGCAGGAAACTGGAAGCTCAGGGTCTTTACTGCAAGCAGAACGTAGATGTTCTGCGAAGCGGTCACCCGGTCTACGCTTTGTTTCGCCAGTGTAGAGGAGAACATATTATGAGCAGCAAATGCAGTAAATTAGATTGTGGCCAATAAGACCTGAGCTTCCATTTGCCTGCCACCTTAACACACCACCCTGTTCCTTGGGTATCATCTCTGTCTCAGGTTTGCTGCTGTGTTCCAGTGAAGCTCAGCACAAGTTAAAAGAATAACACCTCATTATCCGCTTGGGACCCTGCAGCCCTCCGAACTCAATATCGAGTTTAATAATTTTAGGACCTAAACTCTCCCATGTCCTAGCCACCTACTCCACACACCAGGCCTTGATATCACATAGTCTGCCATTAGACACCACCCATTGTTAGTCAATAACAGTCCCCATTAATAGCTTGGGGTTTTCTGAAGAAGGGTCTAGGCCCGAAACGTTAGCCTTCCTGCTCCTCTGATGCTGCTTGGCCTGCTGTGTTCATCCAGTTCTACACCTTGTTACCCCATTAATAGTTATTCACCCTCCTAGCCAGATCGTTATCCATTCCTTTGTCTGTCCAACTGTTCTCTCTCTTAGGGCTCTATCCCCGCTTATCATTTACTGCTTACCCCCTCCCCCCATCCTATCTTCTGCATATAAACTGACATTTTCCTTGCCACAATCAGTTCTGAGGAAGGCTCACTGGACCTGAAATGTTAACTCTGATTTTTCTTCATGGATGCTGCCAGACCTGCTGATCTTTTCCAGAAATTTCTGTTTTTGTTCAATTGGTAATACTTTATTGCCAAGGGATTTGACTTTTGGAGCCAGGGTCTGTATCTAATTCTGACATTATTCTCATGGTGTACAAATGGGTAAAGTGTACGCTTCTTCATTGTCCAAACACCATAAGCCAGATTTCCAAAGCAGGGTCAGGAAGGTGGCATCCTGCAGCATGGGTCCCGATCCCATGCCCGAACTATGGAGCTCTCATGTTGCCATTTTTAAATGTAAATGAACTGATTGAGTAGAAGGTGAGTTCAATGACCAATCTAAGAAGACAATGCTTCCAGGAGGTGCTGCCTGTCAAGTGGCAGCATCAAAGGCAGATGGCAGCCAGGGTGGCAGCTGGCGCTGGCCTTCTGAGGACAGCAGGTAACAAGATCAGGAGGATAAAGCCAGGGCAATGTGGCCATGGACTTTATTGAAAATACAGGTCAAAAACAAACTTGCTTTCTGCAACACCAACAGTTGTGCATAAAATCAATCAAACTGTTCAGCTTTGCCCAGGAGAAAGATTGAAAGTCCTGTTTTATTCTGAACAGGTTCTTTATTAAGTTCCTCAAGGAACTTAACACGGCTTCCTGGGCCATTGTATGTGCTGAGATTCCCATTCCCTCCTCCCTGCAGGTCCTTTGAAGACATTACTGACTGTCCTGTAAACAGCAGCATAGTTGTATCCCTCTTTGGGTCTGTGCTTCTCTTTAGAGTCAGGCATCAATATCAGTAAACCTTCCGAATTAATTCTTGCTGATTTTTCTTCTTTATTTCAGAAGATCCTGTGATTCAGCTCATTCTCCACCACCTCCAACCAAAAAGAAGAAAAAGAAGAAGAAATCAGAGCGCAAGCGAAGACGGTGTGTGTTTTTCTTTTAGGCAATAAGCCTCTTTCTACCAGAAGCTATTACAGTAAAGGTTAAGAGTGTATGCCATTGTATAGTTAAAAGTGTACAGATAAAAGGAATGTAGCATATGTTAAACACTGTGGATTTTTTGAACATTTTTGATAATGTGGCACTTGATCAACTTATCAGAATTAAGCCATGCAGTATTAAAGGGAATATAGCCATGTCACAAAAAGGCTGCAGGACAGAGAACAGAGTACTGGAATACATTGGAAAAACTCAGCAGGTCTGGTAGCATCTGTGGAAAGTGATCAGAGTTAACCTTTCAGGCCCAATGACCCTTCCTCAGAACGGAAAAAGATAACAATGGAAAGACATTGAAATTTGCTGATGATAACACCTGGAAACGAAAGCTGCATGGGTGAGTGCAGGAAACAATATGAAGCCCAAGAGCCACAATGGCAGTGGAATGGGAGCAGATGCAAGAGAGGTGATAGTGGTGAGGTGGGGATAGGGCCTGACACCAACAACAACTTATTTCCTTCAAATCAGTTATCACTGTTAGAAGGTGGTGTTAGATCAACTGTTAGCTACTAAATGTTGTGCAGCCTCATTGATGAGTAATAACCATCAAATTAAGTGGAAATCATACCCTCCAATCCTCCAGGTGCCCATTCCCATTGGAACTCCTTTATGAAGGTGGCATCTGATACCAAACATGGACTTTGCTCTTTCAGCTTAAGACCTCATCTTGGCCACCTTGGGGTTATTTTAGTACCTACAAAATCTAGGGGCAAATTGCTCCCTTATCTTGTTAACAGCGTGTAGAGGTTTTGGAATCAGATTGTTAATATGTTTAAAATGGGTTGCTCATGCAACTCAGAGAATCAAAACTCCTGGAATGTGACTTGAACTCCTGGGGAGAGTTTATTCTTTATTGACTGCCATTCAGTTCGCCTATCCCAGATGGTAGGTTAGCTTGGAGATAGGTGAATAGATTGTCTTTCCAGGGGACTGAGCTAGCATTGATGGGCCTAACTGTTCTTGTTTCATCTGATTATGTTTTATTAGAAGCTGTAAACTCCCTTTATGTAAATTGTATTATTCCCATTCCTATAGCAAGAATTTATTTTCCAACACGGTCTCACTGTGTGAATGTTTAAAGGGCACATTTACCTTCATTTACCAATGGTTGTGGCAGGACCATTCAAACTGCAATACTATTAACAATTGTTAATATTACTGTTAATAATATTTGATTTAGTCAAGACTTTTCCTTGAAAACTTAATAAGTCACCCAGGACATTGTGCAGATGGAAAGGTTGAGGAGACGATAGCTCTTCATTTCCATACATACAGCTGATACCCCATTCCCCAGGGAGCGTGCAATAAATGTTTGACGTTTCTGTTTGCAGTAGCAGATGGTTTGGAAGGAGGGTGGTCGAGAAATGAAGGTGCCTTTAGGTGTCAGGAAGGTACAGAAAAAGAAATGAACAGATGTAACGGATTTTAACTATCTTCCATTTCTTCAATTTGAGAAACAAAGGTGCATGAGTAAGGTGCAAGTTTGAAAAGATTGAAGAACACGACTCCGTGATGTCATAACACCCAGCTTGACTTTTCAGAGTCAGTAGATCGTAGTAGGATGGGAAGACAGATGGATGAAAGTGCCCCATGGTTACGAGACCATGAAAGAGAATGAGTTACAATAAAAGATACTGCATTAATGATCAGACTCCCACAATATACCTCCAAACTTTCAATTAACCCACTGTATCGAAGCGATAAAGCTTTCCTTTGGGTAGTTTGACATTTTCCAGAAAGGTATTACATTCTTTGCCTGAAGATTCCTTCCTAACCTCCAATCCAGCAGGACTTATTCTCATCAGTGCGAAGTTTCAATGGTACTTTCAAATACTGAATACAGCTCCTAAATCATACTGTTAAAGTTGAGCAAAGACTGCAAGTTTATAAGCATGGCAGAATGAAGAGATGGATGGGCCAAATCAGGAGGTAGACCTGCCACAGTTCATAGAGCCCTTTAGACTTCATTATCAGTCAGGGAGAGAGGGGGCATGTTTGAGTCAAACACCCAGCTCCAGAAGCAGATCCCCTCAGGGGTTGGTGAATACTGAGGCGGACTGTTTACTCCAGCAGCAACCTCCTCCCTTCGCTCCTCTGTAAATCACACCCTTTTGGCAAAAAAACTGGTTTTGTCAAAAACGTGGGAAGAACTTCCAAAGCTCGGTCCTATCTACCACTTTTAGAAATCTACAGAGTCTTCCCCTCACCACAAAACCTGGTCCTGGATCTTTATGAAAGAAAGGACGGCATTTGGATTACAAGTGCGTAAAACTAAAATTTCTATTTCTGCAAAACAAAAAGTAATTATTAATTTAGATGGACATCGTACTCCAAACTTTCAACTGAATCATTGGGATAATTCTCTCCTTCAGGTCACTTGACATTTTCCAGAGAAGTCTTACATTGTTTGCCTGAAGTATCCTTCCTAACCTCCAACCTATTCTCAGCAGTGCAAAGTTCCAGTGTTACTTTCAAATACAGGCCATAGGTCTTAAATCATACTGTTAAAGCCAAATGAAGGCTGCAAGTTTATAAGTGTGTCAGGATGAAAAAGTGTGTCAGCACCTATTATGTTTTCCTCAGTCACATCGACTAATCCCTCATTGAAATTTAGTAGAATGCAATGTAATAACGTCTTATTCTAGAATGGGCTTGATTTGTTTTCTCTCTCACACTCCTCTCAGAGAAATTAACATTTTTATTAAAATTTGATTATGCAAAGCAGACAGGAGCACAAAGTGCATAGTTGCTTCCCTTTTTGAATAATGCCTGATCATGTTTGAAACACATATTCCTCATGTTAATGGTAATCCTACTGTTTTTCCAGGTCCCCTTCCTATAGTCCAGCCCCAGCAAGAAAGAAGAAGAAGAAAAGCTCCAAGAAGCACAAAAGAAACAGGTAAAGAATCTGAACAGTTGTGCGACATTAATTTTTAAAAGAATGAGCTGGTTGCAAGATATTTTTCTACTAATAATCATTTGTTGTTTGAGAAAGATGTTACAGGGACTGTAAGTTGTGAGCACAAAATTATCTTTTTCAGTCTGGTCCAAATTCTACATTTCTCAGTGATCACCACCCACAAGCAAGAAGGGTACTAAACTTTTTTTTGTCCAATTTCCCCTGTTCCCCAACCCCACCCCCCCAACAGTCTTTGAACTCCCTTGGACTATTCATTATTTGGGGCTAAGCAAGTAATAAGCACCCTCCTCCATTGAAAACCATTTGTTAGAAACCCTAGATCAGAGGGGTTTCTGTTGTATGCCTGGTGGATGGACTGAGATGGAGAACCATAAGAAGAAATAGTTGAATTTGCATTGCAGCCCTTTATACATTGCACTTTACCACGCAAGATTATTCAATCGGTTCTACAGATAAAACAGAAGGTGCCATTTTGAAATATCCTTGTGCGGGTAACATGTTTATGAAAGACCTTTTGTGATTCTCTTTTCTGTTTGTGGCTAATGTTGAGTATTGGGAGCTGCAAGTACTTCAAAATTCAAGGGAACATTTTAAGGTATATATAGATACTGAAGGAATTGCAACAGGTAAAACTCCAATGAAAATACAGCTATTTTAAGTTGTCAACTTAGATGCAAACTGATTAATGAGCCCGTAGAAGTAACATCAGGAAGCAAGCAATTCTTCATTTTCATGTAATTTGCTTTAAAGTGTCTTCCAAAGAAGTTAAACAATCTTGAAATTAATAGAGTAGCAGTTAGAAACTCAAATAAGGTGACCATCAACTGTGAAAACATAAACTGTGAAAAGCTATGAAACACTATTCTGAGAAATTACGAAGTATATGAGAGGAAATAGTTCTTGACTTATCACTGAGATCTAGTCTTTGAGAACAGCAAACACATTGTTTCTTTAGGATTCTCAAATCCAAATGTCTGATGTTAATATCACACACCTTCTGCTTATATGAAAATAAGCACCCATGAATATGAACCAACTGAAAATGAGGAAAAACTAAGTCCATTGGAATATGCCAGAACTGCTTGATTTTCCTTTGATAGGATGGCAACATTATGTCCTGTTTTAACATCCTTCAAAACTATCATCTTTATTAAAGCTCTTCTTTTAATTAATTTTAAATCAAAGGAAATCTTGGCGTCTAATCTACTGAGTAAAGTTCCCCTTCATTTGCACTATTACTAATTAGATTTAATTTCTTATTTAAATGCATCTCAAGAGAGAAGTAACAAAAATTGAATATGTTCCAATGCAAGGTTTCTGCTTTCTCTCACATCTCAAACCAAGTTTTTCTCATCTTCAGGTCAGGACCAGCCTCCACAAAGAAACGACGGCACAGGTAGGGAGCTTTATTAATCCAAATTAATATATGCTGCTTTTGATATTTTCACCTACTGAAAAAGAAATATAATAAGCTGTTCTTTCCTTTAGTTCAACAAGTCCCAAAAGGAAACGAAAGGACCAGAAAAGACATCGAAGAAGGTAAACAATATATCATGGCAGTTCATTGGCAACTAACTATCTATCACATGATTGTTCATTGGGGCTGTGGAGGGCAGCACAATGGCTCAGTGGTTAGCACTGTTGCCTCAGAACACCAGGGACCCAGGTTTGATTCCACCCTTGAGCGAATGTCTGTGTGGAGTTTGCACGTTCTCCCTGTGTCTGTGCGGGTTTCAGTTGCCCCCCCACAGCCCAAAAATGTGCAGGTTAGCTGGATTGGCCATGCTAAATTGTCCATAGTGTCCAGGGATGCGTAGGCGAGATGGATTAGCCATGGAAAATGCAGGATTACAGGGATTCGGAGGGTTGGTGTGGATTCGATGGACAAAATGGCCTGCTTCCATGCTGCATGGATTCTGTGATTCTGTTGTTTACACACCTGTCTGAGGCCACATTGTCAATGTGAAATATAGGCTGCAGTGTTGAATTCCATAATCAGCCACTACAGTGAGTCTGCACACCACTGATTTACCAGCAGTTTAATCTTTTTCACTATAATCCCATGCCTGGTACATAAAGCACCAAGCATTATATCTTCTTTTCAGTGAATTATGTTTATCAACATAATTGTGTTGTGATCACAAGATAGTGAGCTAGTGTAATTTTGTTTAACAAGTCGTGAGAAAGAATTGAATTATTTTGCAATAGACAAAGATGAAGCCTATTTTGACATTGATGTGTGTTAAGGTTGGACAACGCAAAGGTCTATATGGTGCAAGGACAGACAGTATGATCATATTGTTCTTGAAGCATGATTCCTGTTAGCTAGGGAAAGGAGTTAGCCATTTTGTGCACAACATAAGCTTTGCAACCAACATAAACAGAAATTGTTGGAGAAACTCAGCAGATCTAGCAGCATCTGTGGGTAGAAGGCAAAGTTAACATTTCAAATCCAGTCACCCTTCTTCAGGATTAAAAGCACCTAGAAAAAAAGGAAGTATTTATGCTGACAACAGGGGCTAGGGAAAAGGGGTGAACAGATAGGTGGAGATGGAGCCTGGAGAGAGAGAGAGAGAAAGAGAAAGAGAGAGAGAGAAAAGAACAGATGGCAGACAAAGGGATTGTAGATAGTAAATAAAAACCAAAAGAACTGTGGTTGCTGTAAATCAGAGACAAAATTAGAAATTGCTGGAACAGCTCAGCAGGTCTGGCAGCATCTGTGGAGAGAAATCAGAGTTTACATTTCAGGTCAGATGACCCTTCCTCAAAACTCATGGTAGATATGAAAGACGATGGAGTGGGGGGAGGGAGCAAGGAGTAAAGGAGACGAGGAGATAGAGCCCAAAGAGAGAGAAGAACAGTTGGACAGACAAAGGAGTGGATAACGATCTGACTAGGAGAGTGAATAGCTGTTAACGGGGACTATTAGTGGCTAACAATCAGTTGTGTGTAATAGCAGACTATGTGATAACAAGGCCAGTTGTGTGGTGTTTGGGGTAAGGACATGGGACAGCTCAAATCCTAAAGTTATTGAACTTGATACTGACTCTAGAAGGCTGCAGTGTCCCCAAGTGGAAAATGAGATGCTGTTCTTTCAGCTTGCACTGAGCTTTACTGAAGCATTGCAGCAAGCCTAAGACAGAGATGTTGGCCAGGGAACAAGGTGGTGTATTGAAGCGTAGATAGTAAACCAGTGAAGAACCTAGATCGATAATAATGGGGGGCTAAAAGTAGTCGAAAATGGGTTAGCTGTGCTGAAATTAGTTCTACAAATATTTTGTTTTTGGTCACAATGATTTTGAGATGTAAGTGGCCAATACGGCAGGAGAATCTTCAATTCTTCTTCTGACAATGTCAGGAAACCTTTTATGTTTATTCGAGAGAGCCTCAGTTTACTGTCTCATTCAAAAGACTGTACATTTGACAGAGTTTCAGCCAAGGTTATTGGATCATTTTCTGGAGTTCACAAGTACAACTTTCACGTCAGAGTCCTATCAACCTGATAAATAGTCAATGACTCCCTGTGAAAGAAAATATCTGTGTCCATGATGATTGGTTTTTGTTGAATAATGAGTGAAGACAAACCACAAATCAAACCAGTAAACCACAAGAATTAAAATACTTCTTCCATGGCCACGTGAGTGATTTTTTTTATTCCAGTCAGTGTGTTTTCCCAGGTTTAGAAACTCATACGTGAGTTTTCACTCAAGAAGAACACAGAGTTGAGACAACTCACAAATCCAACCTGGAGAAAGTTGAAATTTTCATTCCGGATCACTGGGCTTGATGGAAGGCAGGCCAGGTGACCCTAGAATGAGTACTGAGTCTGTCAGGTACAAAGGCAGGCTGGGTGGAAGGCTTGTTTTGCTCCTCCACCGCTGTGCCTAACCTCAAAAAAAGCAATAAAGCATATAATAGCCTTCACTCCTCCAAACTGTCACACACTCACTGTGCCTCAACACTGTCAATCCATGCCACTTCATGTGCTCCAATCCCCACAGCCTTTCAGATCCTCATATTTCACATCATCCTCCCACCCACTTGTCTCCTTTTACATCCCCTATGTCCATACCTGCCTCTGCCCCGATACCCATTAACAGCCCATATGACAACCTTTGCCCTTGGATACTGCCCCATCGCCCTTAAAAATCGTATGGCTTCCAATGCCAATGTACCCACTCCAATGGCCCTTTTTGGCCTGTGTGTTAACATTAAGCCATCTCTCGCTATTCATCCACACAGCACCCTTTGGCCTTACACCTACAATGTCAACTCTCCCAGTGTCCGCCATGGGCAAGACGCAAGACACATGCTGAGATGAGATTTTTTTTTTAAAAGTTCTCAAGTTCTTAAGTATCTATTTGGAGAATTGATTATTTTTAAATTGGTAAAAACCCATTCATCATATTTAACTTAATTTAATCCCTTATAAATATAAGCATTAGAATTTATGGGCCCACTTCAAACAGTACATAAGTACTTTAGCTGTCAATCAAATTGTGAATTGAGAGGCACTCACTGTGATAATGGAAGATTGTGAAGTCAATCATAGAGTCAATTAATTTAATAATGTTAAACCCTTGGCTTACGTCAACATATGGAGTGAAATTACAAAGGCTGCTTTTTATTAATTTTTCTTTCAAATATTCAAAGGATATGGGTTTTAAATGTTTTAACAGCTACCTTTGATAACTCTTGATAATTTCTTTTGGCAGCACCTTTCCACAGTTTCTGTTGACACATTTAACTGTTCATTTTGATGGCAGCTCTTGACAATCCCTTTTGATGGCTTCTTTTGGCAGTCCCAAACAGCTTGACAGTTCAAATGAATTTATGCACCCTTATGTTGACTCTTAACAATCTAAAATGGTATTTTATTTCTCCCAAGAGGCATCTAACATTCCCCAAAAGGTTTCCTCAGTGATATATCCAAAAGTGTATCTTACCTCTTCAAGAACAGAGCATGGTTTTCAGCAGGGATCAGTACTGGGTCCTCATTTGTTTGTCATTTATGTAAACGATTTTGAAGAATATAGAAGGCATGTTCAGTAAGTTTGTGGATGACACCAAAATTGGTGGTGTAGTAGACAGTGAAGAAGGTTTTCTAAGATTACAAAGGGATCTTGATCAAATGGGTCAATGGGCTGAAAAATGGCAGATAGAGTTCAATCTGGATAAATGCGAGGTATTGCATTTTGGTACAACAAATAAGGGTAGGCTTATACAATTAATGGTAGGCCTTGGATAATGTTGTAGAACAGAGGGATCTGGGGTGCAGGTACATAATTTTTTGAAGTTTGCGTCACATATTGACAGTTGGGTTAAAAAAAGGCGTTTAGCACACTTGCCTTCATTGCTCAGTCCTTTGAGTATAAGAGTTGGGAAGCCATGTTGAGGTTGTACAGAACATTGGTGAGGGCTCTTCTGGAATACTGTGTCCAGTTCTGGTCACCCAGTTATGGGAAGGATATTATTAAGCTGGAGAGGGTTTAGAAGAGACTTACCAGAATGTTGCCGGGTATAGAAGGTTTGAGTTATAAAGAAAGGCTGGCTAGGCTGGGACTTTTTTCACTGGAATGCAAGAGGTTGAGAGGCGAACTAACAAAATAATGAGAGGCTAGGATGGGGGATTCCAAGAATAGGGGGCACATTTTTAAGGCGAGAGAGGAAAGATTTAAAAAAGACATGAGGGGCAAATTTTTTAGACAGAGAGTGGTTTGAATGTGGAATGAACTTCCTGAGGAAGTGGTAGGTATGGGTAAAATTACAACATTTAAAAAGTAAATACATGAATAGGAAAGGTTTGAAGGGATATGGGCCAGGAGCAGGCAAGTGGGGCTAGTTTAATTTGGGATTATGGGCTGGTTGGACCCAAGGGTCTGTTTCCATACTATATAACGGTACGACAGTATGACTCCACAAGTTTTGGCCTGCTTCTACCAGGTTGAAGTTGCACACATTGTGTTCTTCTCTCCTGACCAACATGACTGGAGACAGCTTTTGTTTGAAATCAGCAGAAGTCTTCATAAACCGTGAATGTACAAAATGTGACCCTTTCCCATTATCCCCTTCCAAAATAATGAGGTCCATTTTGGGGGTGGGATTGAGGGAGGTAGACATCCAGATTTCAGCCTCTGTGAAGAAACTACAGAGTGGTCAATACAGCTCAGCCCATCATGCAAACCAGCCTTCCATCTATTGATGCCATCTAGACTTCCTGCGGCTTTGGGAAAGCAACCAAAATCATCAAAAACCCTTCACACCCCGGTGATACTCTCTTCCACTTTCCTCTATCAGCAGAAGATATAAAAGTTTGTATACACACATGAATAGATTCAAGAACAGCTTCTTCCCCGCTGTTAATAGACCTCTGAATGGACCTCTCAAATTTTAAATTTAATGTTGATCTCACTCTTTCAGCACCTTCTCTGCAGCCATTACATTGCATTCTTTGTTCTGTCCTATGACTCTATGCACTGTACCTAGGTACATGTGACAATAATAAATCAGATAAAATCATTTTTGAAACAACAGGGAAG